GGATGTCGTCCGTTTCTGCCGAAGCTTGCTGACATAGTCTTCCCCCGTAGTGTCTTGTTCTGGCGGCATCCCAAATTTCAGATCGCAAGGAAGCCGCGGCTCTCAGCCCATTATAATACTGGCAGGGGTTTGGCCGGTTGACTCGTGCACTGTCGAACGATAGACCAACAGGAACAGGTGGAGGTACTGGTCCCAGTCTCTTTCTTTGGTAGTCAGAGACTACCTTAGACACGTGGCGGTTTATAGTCTTATTCATTGGAGCTTTCGGTCGTATCCGAGGTCCGTTACTGGCAGCACATGCATCACACTTTCTGCACTAGTTCTTGAAGTCGGCTTGACAATTAGCCCAATAAAACCGTTGTCTCACTTTCTGGAGGGTCTTCGTTACTCCCAGATGTCCTTCAGTGACCCCGTCATTGATTGCTTTGAGCACGTCCCGTCGTCTGTTCCTGGGTACCACTGTCTGGCGCCTTTCTTCTCCACCATCTTCAGATTCCAACACCCGCTTCAGAATCCCATTTTCCAAGGTAAGGGAGTTTCATTGGGCTCAGTAGGACTTAACTCGTCGGCAATGTGAACAGTCATCGGAGCATGGTCTCCGTGATAGGGCACCTGCGTTTTTATGGCTAGTCTCAGCTCGATGTTCTATTTCGAAGTAAAATTCTTGAATTATCTCGATCCAGCGCGCTACTTGGCCTTCGGGATTTTTGAACTGCAGAAGCCATTTGAGAGCTGCATCCGGTTGAGGATAGCTCAAAACAGGAGCGTTGATCAAAGCTCGTTTTAACTTCTTGAATGAGCCTTGGCATTCCTCGGACCACTGGAACTGGATCTGTCCTTCTGTGAGTCGGGTCTATGGTTTGGCGATGTTGGCAAACCCCAGCACATATCTGCGATAGTAGGTGCATAAACCAAGTAAGCTCCGAAGCTGATGTATGTCTTTTGGAATGGGCCAATTCTTAACTGCTTTGATCTTTTTTTCGTCTACCACCACTCCTTCCCCAGAGACAACGTGCACGGTCACGGTAACGGACTTCTTTCTGGAACAGATGGCATTTCTTGGGACTAAGTTTCAATCCAGAGCTTCTCAGACGCATAAATACCTCCTCCAGATTTTTAAAGTGATCGTCGAACGATTTTCCGACCACGATCATATCGTCGAGATACACTAGACACGTCTTCCATGAGTACTCTTTGAGAACCGTCTCCATCAATCTCTCAAAGGTCGCTGGAGCATCACGAAGCCTGAATGACATAACCGTGAACTGCCACAATCCTGAGCCGATGGCGAAAGCTGTTTTTTCTCGATCTTCTGGGGCCAATTCAACTTGCCAATACCCACTATTCAAATCCAAAGTCGAGAAAATTTTGGAGCCGGCTAGCGTGTCTAGGGTGTCGTCGATTCTTGGAAGAGGGTAGCTGTCTTTCTTCGTCGCGTTATTTAGTTGGCGATAATCCACGCAGAACCTTGTCGAGCCGACCTTCTTCACTAATACGACTGGGGAAGACCAGGGGCCATCAGAAGGTTCGACGACTCCTTCTTTCCCATATCGCTGACTATCTTGTCTTCCTCTTCTTTCTTGGCAAGAGGGAGTCTTCTAGCTGATTGCCGGATTGGTCGAGCATTCCCAGTGCCGATTGATTCTGTACTGAACCACATTCGTTCTGCCACCTTTTCCTTCTCCAATATCGAAGATTTCTTGGTACCTCTTGACTAACTCCCTCAATTTGGATCGGTGAGTTAGTGGTATGTCCTTGGAGGAAATGTCAATCAATTTCTCCAACTCTTTAGGCAAGTTGTTGGCTTGGCTCACCGAACTGCGTACACTCCGTATCACAGAGGAAATGGACGAACAGTACCCCAGCATTGTTCCTTTCTTAAAGGTCACGGGAGAGTGGTAGACATTCATGACCCTCACTGGCACAACTTTATCAACACGCAACGCAAGGTTTTCTCCAGTGCGATTCCTCGTCCAATTTTCTCATCGTGTATCTTGGGCTCGAACATTACCACTTTTCCACTGCTCACACTTCCGTCCAGACGAGCCTTCAGGATGGGTTCAGCCCTCAGGTACGCACACGTCTTCAGCCCTCTCAGGTACGCACACGTCTTCAACCCTCTCAGGTACGCACACGTCTTCAGCCAACAGGACCCTGATCATCTATTCGCTTCTTCCATGAAGCACCAGCTCTTCTCCGCCGACACGTAGAACGCCGTCTTTAAAATTCAACTCGAACCCCCTGGAATTCATTATGTCCATTCCAATGATCGCATCGTCCTCGACGTTCGCCACCAATGCTCGATGGTTTAATTTAGTGCTGCCCAACATCAATTCTATTGATAATTCTCCATTACAGTGGCTGGCTCCCCTGTTGCGGTGCGTAGCTTCCAACTTGATGGTTCTTGTCGCACCCGTATCTAGCAACATGGTGCAAGGCTCGTTGTTGATGAGACCGTCTACGAAAACACTTTTGTCTTGACGTTGGAGAATGGCAACATATGTGTTTTTACGGGGGCTTGATGGGTACAGGCCGACGATTGCCCCTTCTCATCGACCCCCGTAGTTTTCCTGATTTGGTGTTGATTATTTGAATGTTGGACATTTGCTATGCACATGCACAATTTTCCTACAGTTCCAGCATCTCATATGTTTTCTTTCGGGCAACACTTCTTTTATTACCTCAATATCAGCAGGCACCTGTCCATCTTCCCCAATGGTTTGAACTTTGCTCTGGCTCTTACAGAATTTTTTTGCAGCCTCAAACTCCAGGGCTTGCCAGTGCATCTACGAGATTTTTGGGATGAGCTGGTGTCAAGGCCTGCCTCGTTTATTGGTCGCGAAGTCCGTTCAAGAATGCCTGAACTGCTAACAGCTCCATTACATTTTGTGGTGTAGCAGGATATGCCAGAGACGAACCAATCAAGCAAAGTCGGCTTCAAATTCCTGTAGAGATTCTCCTAATTTCTGGCAGCGGTTTTTCAGCTGTGAATGGTAAACGTGCTCTAGGTTGGCCTGCTCATACCTTAGCTCAAGATGCTTTATAAGTTGGTCATAGTCTTCCTGTTCTTGGGCCGTGAGGGTTTGCAAAATATTCGTTGCTTCTCCGCGCAACGCCAGTGTTAATACTACCGCCTTTTTTCCTGCATTCCATCCATTCCATTTGGCCGCAGTTTGGAATTGTCGGCGGTAATTTGCCCAAGGAGTTTTTCCGTCGAACCGGGACGGATTCATAGAGAGCTTTCTGTGTTCAGAACTGACTTTTACATTTGTCATTACCTTTTGAAATTCTTCCATGTTAAGACTCGGTTCCGGAATTGAGGTTTCGTTAACAGTTTCTGTGGTGTGGGCAGAATTAACGATTTGCAACTTGCTAATTGTTTTCTTCATCTTGCTGATTTCTGCCTTAACTTCGCCTTTGATTTCATTGCCTATTTTTTTTCATTCTCTTCATTTCTGCCCCGATCTCATCTTTGATATCTTCTTTGATTTCCTCTACTTCTTTGTTCATTTCCTTCCTGATTTTGTCTATCTCTGTCTCGATGGTTCCTATTCTTTCTTTGAGTAGGCTCGCCACACAACAAAGTTCTTTCTTTAAGCCTTCTGCATTTTCTAGAAGTTTATCTTCCAAACTTTTCGAATTTCCCAAAAGCTTCTCTACAAGGCTCACCGAATTCTCCAGAAGTTTGTCTTCCAAACTCTTCGAATTTTACAGAAGCTTCTCCTCCAGGCACTTCGAATTTTGTTGAAGTTCATCTCTCAGCGATTTGGTATTCTCATAGAGTTTGCTCATTATTGAACTCAAATCACCCCCAGAAACTTTGAATAAATATGTTTCGGTGATCTTCTCGTGATTCAGTCAAGTTATCCCAGTCTTTTCTGGAATACTGATTTCTTTCCAGAACAATCTATCTTCAATTCGGCGACTTTCAAGTCCGCTAGGCGCACTTTTCTCGAAGACATTTTGTCTCCTATTGTCTATTTTCCACAAAACTATATGTCCACTTGTTTCAATCGAGTCCGAAAACCCTCATTTACTTTCACGAGAAAGGTCTATCAGTTTATATTTCCGTAGTTCGGTACTGCCCATTTCGCGAAACACAACGAATCACCAGTCTCTCTGCTCGAACAAGTAGTCTTTTAGTCAATTTCCCCGCAATGCAAAGATTGTCCACCAAGCGCTCACAGATGTATTTTACAAATCCACTTCTGATCACCAATTGTGACAAATTAATGAATTAACCGTCTTAAACAAATGAATTTCTAACAATATTTTAATAATCACAAACCAATTTATTTATTACAACCCTTAGCAACTAACGCTTAATTTATTTCCACTATTTGAATTTATTGTTTAGCCGCTCGATTCACTTTTAGATCTGCTCTCTTGGGTCGGGAAGACGGTCTTATATCGGTAAAGGTCCTTTCAATAATTTTGTAGATGGTTCGGAACTCGACTGGAATTTTACCGGTGGTTGCATTCTTTCGCGGCGAGGTCATGTGTTTTTCGATGAGTCGGCTGGCGTATCGGTCAGGGGCGGCTTCAGATTCTTTACAATATATTATATCCCTTTCTCATTCTCGTGTCTTTCCACTAACGACAGAATGGCATGGTATTGAAAGGATCCTCAAAAAATATGAAGATTGAGCCATATTCAATCAACCCCACTAAAATAATAGGAAGACCCGCAAGGATCCATTAAGTATACAAGTTGTGACTGTAACAACCACGAAAAGAAGCGTTAAACGCCCTTGTTGGGATATGAAAGAAGTTGGTACTATGGTCAAACAGACTAAATATGCTGTCTTACAAGACATAATGAATTGCCTTTGACGGAACTCAAGTTCTACCTGTGATCAGATTGTATTTATTATCCTCGGCTATAGAGACCATAGAAACCCACAAAAATAAAACTAATCTTAACCATTAGCAGGATTGCAAATCTTGTTATATAACAATAATCTTCAACAATTTCACTTTAATAGTCTTTTTTTTTTCAGTCTTATGCTAGTGATATGAAAAACCGCGATCACCTCTACGATTTAGAAAAGCCGCTACCTGAGAAACGACCTGTCAAGAGGAAAGTATTCAGATATACAAAATTGTTATAGACGTAATTGAAAAAAAAATGTTTGAAGACTGATTTTCTCAGAATAGTTCGTACATCTTTTTTACAAAATTAAATATGAAGGTGAAAGAACTTGTATATAAAGGTTTCATTATTTATAATACTTCAATCTACATTAGGTTTTGTGATTTCCTAAATTTAGTATTTGTATCATGATTGACAATGTTTAACATTTTCACTGTAATTCACCTTTTTTTTTATCTTAGGTCAACATAATTTTCTAAGTGTGTGTGTATGATAAAATTGTATTTATTTTATTTGATCATGTAAATACAAAGATTATATTATGTTATTAACTAGTTTCTGTATAAAAAATAGATAAAAACAAGTTGTGTCAGAAGATTGAAATGATTAAAGAATATGTTCACATTATTTGTTGAAGTAATTTTCAATATTTTAGCAAAAATTTTTCTATGAGCCATAGACAATAGATAATTACTAATACTATTATCAAAATAGAACATACATGACATCAATTTGGCAAGCAATGATTTGTTTTATATTAAAAAATTTCAATAGATGGTTATTTCATTGTCAATTAAATCTCATAAGTTTTCAAGATACTTGTTTGAGCTAAAGGAAGGCGACAGTATCACTTTCTGATGTGTAACTCCAAACAACTGGAATAACACACCAAAGTCCATCCAAGAATTGTTCACTGACCCAAATGTTAACATTATCAGATAAAGACCAAGCATGGTCTAATTCATCATTATCGATGTTTGTGGTTCTGGTTCACCAGATTTAAATATTTGTAATATAAATAGCAGTTAAGAAAAATGCCTCTAATCCTTGTATTTCATTACTTTGACTGACCTGTGCTAAGAATCACAAGAAAAGGTAAGGCATTGTATATTTTTAGATGATAGTAATGTTCATTCACCAAATATAGATAAAAAGGTATACATAATTCTCAAATATAAGAAAGGAGTAAATAAACAATGGCGTGACAGAAGGAGCATCAACGAAGGGGTGTTCCTTGTATGTGATATAGCCATATCGGTAAATAATTAAAAATTAGTACATATGAGGTAAATTAAAATTCATCATAAGAAATAATATAAGATTAATATTGAAAAATTATTGAAATAAGTCTGAATTATGAAATAGTGCTTACGATCGGGCTAATATTTATAGTAGTTCAGCGACAATAGTTATCTTCGGTTGAACGCAAAATACATTTTGTATGTGATAAAACGGCCAATGTTTAGAAAACAGTGTTAACTAGTATGTAATGAAATAAACTAGTAGATAATCAAATCAAATCAAAGCATGCTTTATTATCTGAAGAATAGAATTCTTATTGACAAAGCTCCTAAATATAATAGTACATAAATCCTAACTGCTTAAAATGAGCAGGAAGTCATGATAATTAAATGAAATTAAAATTATGCAAACCAATATGGATTGTGGGATGTTAAAAGTGGATGTACTTAATGTATATATACAGTCATGTTTCTATAAAATGTTTTCACAACAATACAGTAGAATAGAAATAAAAACAGTTTTCCCTAATTTATTCTATATTAATTTGTTATAAATACAAAACAGGAAAGAATTGTCAGATGATAAAAACATTAAAATAATATATATACATATATACACATATACATACACATATATACACATATACATATATACACACATATACACACACACACAGACATATATACATATACACACATATACACATACATAGACCCATGTACACACATATAATAATTTTATAAAATGTTTGATTTCTTAATACAGTTAATATGTACATACATATATAGTCATACATACACACCTACCTTTAAAACTATTTAGTGAGAGACATAGGTACGACATATTTTGTACTGCTGTCACAGCTATTCAAAATTTTGTTCAAAAAATTCCCTCAAATCATAAATTGTCTTGTTATTAAAAAATTTTTTACAGCCCTTCTGAATTTCGGAGTGCTATGAATATTTTTAATTTGCTTCGGTAGATGGTTGAACATTTTCGAACCATTGTAAACAATTGAATTTTGGTATTGGGTGGTTCTGGGGACTGATAAAGGTATATATTGGCCATTTGCCCTAGTATTACGTGCAGTGTCAGATTTTAATAAATGTAGTTTATGCTTATGAACTAAACTAGTTGATTCTAGCACGAAAATTGATGTTAACGTGAGTATCCTCTGAGATGTAAATAAGGGTTTACATGAAGTTTGGTGATTAACATGGAATAAGTATCTCAGTGCTCTCTTTTGTAGCTTAAAGATCATTGAGAACAATGCTTGCGAGCAGGCTCCCCAAAATGCTATCCCATATCTGATGTGAGATTCCAGGAGAGCAAAGTAGGCTTTTCTAGCAATAAGATAACCGATGTCATTTCTAATAACTCTGATAGCATAACACCCAGATGACAATTTCTCTGCCATTGCCATAATATGCTCATCAAACTTTAAATTATGGTCCAATACAACACCTAAGAATCTGTAATTATCAGATTTCATAAGTGTATCATTATCTAGTTGTATTTTGTCGATGTCCCATTTAAATGATAACACTTTAGTTTTCTTAGAGTTGAAGACCATTTGATTGACATCGCACCACCTTTTTATTTCAGTTAGATCTAAGGAGATCAATTGGCCGAGAATATTCTTATCTTTAGTGTTCCACTCTATAGTTGCATCATCTGCAAATAAAGTGAACCTACCACTAATATTCAAGTTCGTGAGATCATTCACATATAGCAAAAATAATATGGGCCCCAAGACAGAACCTTGTGGAACTCCGCTGGTCAATTTTTTTTCCAACAACAACAGGTTTAGTAAAGTAACTGTGTTACATGGAAGGTTCTGAACATAGCCGCTGGTCCAATGATGGGGAGAATCATCGCATCCGTGATTACTCGGAAGAAATCAGCACTGGCGAACGTATCACCAACAGCTACAACAAAATTAGACCAGTGATACATTCTACAGTCAAAACCCTCGGGATTAATGGGTTTTAAAATATTGGCAACACCTGTTTCATGAACAGTGTAATCCAATGTTCATCAAACAAGAGATGGTTACTAGACTATTTAAAAAAGGATGAAAACATGAAAGATATCGATATTAGTATTTCTAATAAGAAGGGTGCTTTGATTAAAGCGTTGGCAGAAGTTATCAAGGAATTGTGATTAGAAGATTAATCTGATGAGTAGTGAACACCTAAACTGATCTAAACAGAGGTTGACAAAAAAATTGAGTGACAGCGATAAAACAAGAGTCATGGCTGAGATTTTTGAATATAAATAACTCTAAGATTGTAGATAACTTTGTCGGTCAATTAAAATCCACAATGAAGTGCGCACACTGTGGACACTCATCAGTAACCTTTGATCTTTTCTGGGATTTGTAATTCATATCACAAAGAACTAACTGGCTAATTGAGTTTGTCACAATGTTTGGATTCCTTCACAAGAGAAGAAACTTTGGATGGACATGAAACACTGACGTGTTCGAGTTGCAAGGAAAGAAGAAAATGCACAGTCTCTATCAATACATAAGTTTTCCTATATTTTAGCAATTCATTTTATAAGATTCTCTCTAACGGAAATATTTAGAGGCAAGTTAAATGTTGCTATAGAATTTCCTTTAGATGGATTAGACATAAGCAATTATGCAGCAGACAATATGACTTCTTGTCTATATGCACTTTCAAATCATACTGCGTCTACTTACAGCGGACTACTGGTAGCACACCACAGACATCCCTACATTGGCACATGGCTTGAATACAGTGATTCACATTGTCACCATAATCGCCTGTGAGTGGTGAGGCATATATCCTCTTTAATGAAAAGGAGGAAACGAGTTAGCACCTTTTTTCTTTTAGTGTTTTGAAATGTTATTTTTGACAAGTTAATTTCATATTTTGAATGAATATTTCATATTGCATGTAAATGTAAAATGATATAAATTTAACTTTTCAGGTACACAAATACATACCTGAATATAAATATCAAATCTATTTGGATAGAAGCCTATACTATATTTGAAGAGTAGTCTTTGCTGACCAGCCAAGAACAAAACTATGATGTTATTTGAGTAAGCAGCAAAACGAAAATGTTTTATTAGGGAAAAAGCTACAATTATTATATAAAAAATCAAACTATTACTAATAAGATAGACATACTGTTAATGGAGTTTAGCCTGTTCAAATTGGTTGTTTATTAAACAGTACATGTTAGAGAAGATGAAACTATTTTATAAACAAAGTTAACATACTTAAAATATTTTTAATCACAAATAATACATGTTATATATTGTTTATTGACCTTCTCCATTCATAACCAAGGTGACATGAAGTAAACAAGATCTAATATCAACGCTGATGCTGCAGAATCAGCACCTGCATATACGCAATTCTTCTAGTCGACACAAAGACTCTTTCTTCTTCTTATTTTATTTTTAGAACATGAAAACAATTATCTTATAAATACCGTCCTGCATGAGGAAATAAGTTAGTTACAAGTTTGTTACTTTTGCATTCACATTACTTTACATTATATTGTGTATGGACGTGTCAAAGGATTTGTGGTAAAACTTGGGGTTTAGGCCCCAAACAATTCCATTGGATTTATGTGATGATTGTCAGACCAATGATCACTTATGGTGCAATTGCTTGGTGGCCGAAGGCTTTACAGAAAACGGTCCAAGCGAAGCTCTCTGGCTTAAAGAGACAGGCTTGTCTGGCTATCAGTGGTGCCATCAGTACCAAACCGTCATCGGCCATGGATATCCTTCTAGATCTACCTCCTCTACACATTTTTCTGGAAAGAGAGGCCAAATATAGACTTGCGCACATTGCTAATTGCACAAATCAATTCAATGCAGAGTGCAACAGACTGTTGGTTGAGATTGGAAGTCACAGCATTCTGGAAATGACCTGTGACTTTATGCCTCCAACTGTCAACTACGGACTGCCTTATAAAGTACCATTCCCGAGAAGAGAGGACTGGATCATCCGGGAGAAGGAAATATTAAGAGCAGATAGTTGTTGATTCACAGATGGATCAAAAACACCTTCCGGTTCTGGTGCAAGTGTTTTCAGTCGCAGACCCAGGACAGAGTTATCTACCTGCCTAGGAACTTATGCGACTGTATTTCAAGCGGACATTTACGCTATTGATTTGTGTGCGGAGAGATTGGATAAATCCAACCTCACTCACAAGTCAATAAAAATATTCTCCGACAGTCAAGCGGCGTTGGAACTCTTGGCTCCTACCGAGCAACGTCTAAATTGTTAGCAAACTGCCACAAACGACTCTCTCCTTGATAGGAAGACTTAACAGATTGTCTCTGGTATGGATTCCTGGCCATACTGGCCTGGAAGGCGGTGAAGCTGCTGACTCTCTTGCAAAGGAGGGTGCTGCAAGCGGCTTCATTGGACCAGAACCTGTCATTGGCATCGCTTTGGGCTTTGCCAAACAAACACAGAACACCTGGATGGCAAGAAGATTTATGGACTTCTGGCAGAACCTTCCAGCATTGGCTCACTCCAAGGG